GGGTCTATATTTGTCATTCGAGAAATTGAGAAGAATAGAAGTGAGGGACGATGAACTGAGGGACATAAGAAGGAATATGTGTGACAGAAGAACGGCCGGGAGAGAGAACGAGTAAGGGATGAAGAAATTGAGATGTTAGTAGATAGTGGTAGATGTATAATTTTTCAATATAGCGAAATTCAATATGCATATTGAAATGATTGCCATTATTTTATTGTAACTAATTCTCTGTCTCATGGACTGTTCCAATAAGTTATATTCTGCATTCTGCAATGAGGACGAGGAATGGTAATTGGTACCTACATGTTGATGCATCTGGATGGATCAGGACGAGGCCGGAGGTGGAGGGGACGGCACCTCCACGAGCCCTTCAAGCACCAGGATGACGCTCCTCATGGTCAGTCTCGCCTGGGGCTCCGCCTGCGCGCACCACACCGCAACCTTCACCGCCCGCTCCACCTCCGCCGCCTCCACCGCCTCGTCTTCGCAGCCCACCACGCGCCTCACCTCGCTCTGCACCAGCCACTCGTGCGCGCACTCCATGAGCGTCCGCTCCTCGCCGGCCACCTCCAGCTCCATGCTCCGCCGGCACGTCACGATCTCCAGCAGCACCACGCCATAGCTGTACACGTCCGCCTTCACCGTCAGCGGCCCGACGCCACGGTACCACTCTGGGGCCATGTACCCGCGTGAACGTCCGCGTCTGGTCTGGCAGCAGGAGCTTTGCCAGCCCAAAGTCGATGATCTTGGCCGTGCCCGACGCGTCCATCAGGATGTTCTGCGGCTTCACGTCGCAGTGGATCACCCGACTGTCCAGCTCGTCGTGGAGGTAGGGCAGCCCACGCTCGACGTCCAGCGCGATGCCCATCCGCTCGCCCCACGCCGGTCACCGCCGCCACCGCTGCTCCTGAACAAATGCTCCGCCAACGACCCGTTGCTCATGTACTCGTACACCAGCAGCCGGTTGACGCCCCCGTGACAGAAGCCCAACAGCCGGACCAGGTTCCGGTGGCTTGTCCGCCCAATGGCGCGCACCTGCCGCTGGAACTACACCTCCCCCTCCTCCACCACCTTCTCCAGCCGCTTCACGACGATCGCCTTCTCGCCGCCGTTGTGCAGCAGCGTGCCCCGGAAGGCCGGAACACCGTGCCGAACGCGCCGCGGTCCAGCGGGTCGCGGAAGCCGCACGTCGCGTGCTCCAGCTACCGGTAGCTGTACGACCTCAGGGGCGCCTCCTCGTCCAGGGCCTCCGCGTCCGGCTCCGCCGTCGTCCTCCGTTTCGTCCAGGGTCGGTGTTTCGAGTTATAATTAACAACTAAATTTTTAATATTACGTGTCTGACTTAGATGATGTGATAAGAGGACATGAGATTTTATTGCTGCTGCTCGTATTACTAGCACTGAAAGTTCATAGCAGGAGTTACAAACGGGTGAGAGAGACATGTCCCAAATCTCTGGTGAAAAGGATAAACGGGTGCTGCTCAGCCATAGGCTTTGTGTCGTGTTCTAATCGGTTCGGGCTTCAATGGGTTCGTGATCAGATCGATCCGATCTGGCTTGAATCGATGATGGTTCGATTTACTTTATGGGACGCCTTACTTTTACCTTTTACAGGTTAAGGGAAAGCACGGGTTACAACGGAGTCATTGTAGCAGCACTGTTCATCAAATCCATTTTCTCTCTCTCCTCCTTTTCATTCTCACTGTTCACCAAGTATGGTAGCGAGCCGGAGAAGCTCGTTTTTTCCTCCCCGGGTCCAGCTCCTGTGCGCTACAGTGTGCTACGGTGCGGGAGCCGGAGCCGACGGGAGACCGGCCAAACGGGCTCTATATTTTGGGCGCCTTATTTAAAAAAAATCATGCAACAATCTTACACAATCAGAAATTGTTTGACTCAGGAGTCAAGACATTTTTTTGGGGAATTGCTATATTCATGGTCTTTTCTATAAGTCTGCTCGTACTTAAAATTGTTTGACTCATGATGAAAATTTTATATATTTTTATTATTATTTTGAGGTGGTCGGAGTATAAAAATAAACATCATAGATCCAATTGCGAAAAATATTATTTCCAAACATAGTTTACCTATATTTATGATGCCGTAGATGTTGATCGTCTTTTGTATAAGCCTTCTTTTCTTTGACAAACTATTATTTTCTATAAGCCTGATTATTAAACATAAGATAGCTAGTGCATTTGCCATTTGGTCACCTCTCAATTGACTCCATTGCATGGTTTATTTCATAATACCGCTACATTACGTTTTTGTGTTGAAAGAGTATTTAGTCAAATTCATATTGACCCGCGACCGCGTTGTGGTGTGCAGCTAGGATGCACGGACAGTCCATTAGAGATACAAAGGCACGCCGTTTAGAGGCCTCCCAGGATCTCCGCGTATGTTCTATTTAGTTGGTGTATTAGATAGAAATTCCACGACTCAGATAAAGCGCGTCACAATCAGCCTTTCTCCGTGCATTCGGCAGTGGATAGATGAAGCAAATAGACGCATTCAATGAAGTAGATGAAAAATTGAATGACCATGCATGCAAGGACAATATAAATGTACTTTGTATGCAAAAAGTTACTACGGTAGGGGAATTTATATCATTGTGCTTTCACGTGTCCTTTACATTAAAAAAGTTACTATGACAGGAGGAATTTACATCACATATGTCTTCTCCTTTTACATTAATGAATTTACTATCAATAGATACTAGGCAGTAAATTTCTATGCATGCACGAGTGCCTCCCTAAGCTATCCGGAAATTCACTCAGTAAATTTGAAAGCACTGGACATCTTCACCTGCGCAGGGTGGGTCGAAAGTAGGTGGACACATTTAATGCCTCCCCTCCATGTTACCATCGGATAAAAACAAGTCGGGTAGGTGAATATATTTAATGCCTCTCCTCCTTACCATTAGATAAAAATAATTCACCGACCATGCTGTAACATTTGTACTTACACATGCATCCATGCATCTAAGAGACGGCTTGGGTTGTGTGCACGTTGCTCCCAAGATGGTCGGTGGTTGGGGTTGGTCGCCATTAATAGGGCTACCATACTTGCATCTGCACCCATGCATGCAGAGGCGCCCGTTCCCCCTCCAACTCTTGCCTATATAAGCATGTGCCATCCATTGCTTCATCGCACCCCTCCCAGCCCTCCCAGTGTCTCCATGTGTCCTTTTGTAATTCATATACGAGGAATCAGTAGCTATGATCTCAGGGGCAGCCGCAATGGTGAGTCGACCCATCTCAGAGATATATGAAGGCATGCCATCAAGGTGGCCTCAGAGAGTGTCCACGTTGCCTCTATTGTCTCTTCCATATATGATTTATTTCTAGCGGTCCAGATGACAGCTCCTCTAGCTTAGCGCCACGCATGTCGTCCACCTCAAGAGTCTGGCAAGCATGCTCTATCACTTCAAGGGACCCACCATTTATTCTATCCAAGGCATTTATTCTACCAACCAAGAAAGCATTGACAATATACCTCTATTGGACGCATGCAAACTTGAAACAGGCACACACGCATGCATGCATTACAGCATTAGCACATACATTTAATTCCCACACGCTCATGTCTTTGTCTTCCGAGTAATATCTCATGTGTGGCTGTGTCATTTGAGTAGTAATTTTGATGGTTGCATCGACATACATGATAATAAGTAATTCTACGTATGTGTTAAACTATGTGTGCCCATTTAAGATAACTCTAGCTCTCATTATTTGTTGGGATAGTTACGGTAATGTGTATGGGTGACTGGTCCATTAGTATAGATACTCTACCTTTTTTTAGTGTATGGTGTAGTTACTCTACCGTTTTTAGCGTAGTCACTCTACCTTTTTTGAAAGGTAATCACTATACCTTAGTCTAACCAGTGCATTAGGAATTTGGATTAGTTGATTCGATGCCAACGAAGTCTCTTTAGCAGATTAATCTTACTTGCTCCTTGTATAAGGCATGTTATTGATTTCGTTCTTTGCATTAATACATGATGTTTTGGGTTGTTGTATGCCTGGTTAACTTAATTAACCAAACCTCATTTGTATGGCCACAGTGATTAAAGGCATGCATGCATACTTGAGTGAGAGTGTGCATATGCATGCATACCTGCCTGCTGGAAACAGATGCTCATTATTGCAGCGAAGTGAGTACTCCCTCCTCGGTATTCAAAAATAAAGTTGTTTTTGGACGCTTGGATCTGGGAATATAAATCATGAATACCTTTTAAGTTGTTGAGTTTAGAAATGTGAAAGCCATATAAATATATTTGTCTTGAAAAATATTTTCATAAAAATATACATATATCACTTTTTGATAAATATTTTTATAAGAACAAGAAGTCAAAGTAATACTTTGGAGACCGTGTCGCTGTCCAAAACAACTTTATTTTTAAGTATGGAGTGAGTAGTTAAGACTGCTGGCATTAATGAGCTTCTTACACCTAGCAATTGCAATAGACTGAAGTGCCTGTTGCACCTAGATATAGATAATTTTTTATCCATACAATGATGGTAATAGGGACAAATTTGTTTGTAGCAAAAAAAAACTAATTGAATAAAATATGTCGTAAGTCTCCTACAGTGAAGCACGGGCAGGACAAATTTGTTCATATAAATAAAAAAAAAATTCGAACAAAATATGTCGTAAGTACATCACCTGTGGCGAAGCGCGGACAGAGTTGCCTAGTATCCATGGTGGATGGCGATAGGAAAGACCGGATTCTGTGTTAGCGACGACGCAATGGCATTATTATTATCTCATGGTAACGGGGGCGGGGGCGGCAATGGCGTTTCGTAGCAGCAGCAGCCTAGCAGCTACCAGGAATTCAACACACACGGTAGTAGGTACAGTGGACACGGCAAGATCGATAGCAATGGAAAATGGAAAAAATTCAGGCAGGGAAACAGCACCAAGAGCGAGTAGTTTTTTTTTTAGACTTTTACCTGTACGTTATTATAAAAGTTTGCTATTAAAAAGGTCAAGTGATGCCACTCGTCAAAACTTTTTTATCCTCCACGATGTGGGCCTAGTGAAGATATCGAAAATGCCCTCCTCTCCTAGCCCTATCCTCTCTCGCGCGAACACACGGACGCCCGCGCGAGCCCTCTCCGGCGCCGCTGCGGCCTCCGATCCCGGCGCCGCCGCAGATGCGCTCATTTCCCGGCTCCGTCTGGGGTCTGCGGCCTCCCGCACTGCCGCGCCGGAGGAGCTGGCGTGCTTTGCACCCACGCCCTCCGCGGTGGCGGCGCTGGCGCCGGCGTCGGGAACCCTCCGCAGGTGGTCGTGGCGCGCTGGCGCAGGAGATCGGATGCTCCCGCTGATGGTGGCTTCGCGGGACGCGGCCGCGGTAGGCTGGCGGCGCTCCTGGCAGATTGCGCTTGTGCCGGCGGGGCCGCTAGACGGCATCGCGTGCCAGACCATGGCGGCATCGCGTGCCAGGCAATGCTCCTCCCGCAAGGCCTCCTTCCCTGGTTCATTCAGGGCCACCGTCAACCGGGCAGGAAGGATTGGCACCATGAACACTGGCTGCCTGCAGTTCTTGTCATGATTGGTTCAGACATTTAAGAGTGGCACTGAATGTGCTTTTTTGTTATGTCCGAACACTGGCAGTGATGTGCCGAAGAATCTGAATCTGATTCTGAAATGGGAAAATTATACTTGATTGATTGATCCATCCGAGAAGTTTTCGGTGAGCATAACACCATAAGTGACTTGGCAAAACTGCAGCGGTGATACAGATTCAGTCGTCCAGGTAACTGCGACAAGGTTTGCGAGCAGTCATCTTGGTCTGAAGATCAAGATCCACTTGTATCCAAGGTACTCAGCTGGACAGGTACTGAACTTTCCATTGCTGTTTAAATCAATCTTGCTGTTGTTACCGTATTGTCTTTGAGTTTGAGGTGCATCTTGTCTTGTGCATGAGCAGGAAGGAGGATGGTCTGAGGTGTATGAAGGGCTCACATTTGCGTCAGTGAGAGGTGCAGGGCATGACGTGCCATTGTTTCAGCCCAGGAGCGTTCGCAAGTAGAAAATAACTTGTTGATAGGCGTGCAGTTCATAGCTGAGGAGTGATTGATTGGTGTTGGAAAAAGGATGTAGAGAATAAGGATGGTTATGTTATGCCATGGAAACTCACGAGCATTGCAATGAATAGCGAATAAATTTCAATGATCTCACTCTCAAACGCTTATGTTATGCCATGGAAACCCATAAGCATTGCCATGATTACTGAATAAATTTCAATGATCTCACTATCAAATCAAATGTGTTTCAATGATCATTGCTGCGCGTTTTCAGTAGCAGTGTTTCGGGTACTATTATTATTTGCAAAATCACAGCGCAGTCATGCCAGCATGTAGCACACAGGCCAACACATCAGCGGCGGCCACGACAACCGTGAGCCGGCGTCCACGTTGCAGGCGCTGTGGAAGTTAGTGGCATACGAGGAACGGGGAACTTTTGTGTGGTGTTCAGACCTGAGGGCGCTTTAGACTTTTTTTTACCATGGTTTGACAATGTTAGAGGTAAAAATAGATGGAATGACGTGAAGGGTAAAAAAGTTCCGACCAATGGTATCTATGATCGTTTAAATTTTTTAATGGCTTATGAGTAATTATAAATTTTTATAATGACATATAGGAAAAAGCCTCTAGTTTCTGACTATGGTAGCTTGAACATTAGTTCGGTTTAGCAGTGACGAAGCTAGAGCTAATATAAGGAAGGTGCAACACTTCCATACTATTTAGGGCGTATTTGGTTTCATGGCGCGGGCGAGCTTGCCTCCCATTAAGCTTGCCATGAGAGGGGAGCAAATTTGCCATAAGGTCTCGGCTAACAATATTTAACTGCTGATCTCATCCGTTTGCTACAGTTGCCATGAAGCTTCCAGGTACAGCTGCTGGTATTTTAAAAGCCCGAGCTCGTCCGTTTGAAGCCGTACGCGAACAAATGAAAGCGACGCACCGTGGGACAGGAAACCACGCAGGTGGGCCGGGCGTGCCCACGCGGGCCGAACGACGCAAGTGAGCTTATTTCCGTCCCCCTGCGCGAATATTATTTTAAGAAAAAATCCACGTTACCTCTCTTAATTTTTACGAAAATCTGTTTTTTCTCCCTAAACTCTAAAACCAGGTAAACCATCTCTCTGAACTTTGAAAACCATTTGTTTTACCTCTCTGACCGGTTATAAGCAGGTTTTAAAGACGGTTTTGTCTTTTTCATTTTTATCTATTTCGGCTGAATCTTTGAAAAATCATAATATATCACAGAAAATCATAAAAGGAAAATTCTAATTTGGTTAGACTCCACATGAGTAGATCTATACAATGAACATATAATATGGTATGCTTTAATACAATTTCTTTGTTGTATACTTTAGATCAATGAGTATGAAATTTTTACTATTGTTCGAGCATATAATAATTAGTCCACCATAAAAACTTCACCACAATTGGACCATAGAAACTGCAGCTATGAATTAATTACAGAAAAACATAAATCTAAAGCTACAAAAAAAATGGTATTAAAACATACCATATTATATGTTCACTATGTAGATCTACTCACGTGGAGTCCAACAAAATTAGAATTTTCATGTTATGATTTTTTTTATTTACTATGACTTTTCAAAGACTCGGCCGAAATAATTAAAAATGAAAAAGACAAAACCGTCTTTGAAAACCGCTTATAACCAATCAGGGAAGTAAAACAAACAGTTTTAAAATTTCAGGGAGGTGGTTTATCCGATTTTAAAGTTCAGAGAGAAAAAAGCAGACTTTCGCAGAAGCTATGGAAGATAACGTTGACTTTTTACTATTATTTTGCCCGACCGGCGCAAGCATACGGTCCGAGCACTCGGACCCTAGCAGCGCCCATTGTGAAGGGCGCGAGAGTAACAAAGTTGAACCGGTCAGGTCACGAGCCGATTCATCGCAACTGGGCCATGGGCCAATTCAGGCGGAGTAGGCCTGAGTGGGCCTTAAAGTGGTGCCGCGTGTGTTGCGTCTATGAGCCCATTCTCAACAAAATCAAACGACATTGGTTAACTCAACTCAGAACCTATCTCTGTCTGTCTTCCCTCTCTGAACTAACCTCCTCTTTAATTTGAATGAGAACTGAGAAGACATGTTTAGTTTTAGCGAGTCAATCTCGGTACCGGATTGGTTTGATGTTTATATCCTATATATACTCTATCCGTTCTTTTTTACATGCCGCATCAAATTTGTCCTAAGTCAACCATTGCTATCTTTAACCATCTATTTTGAAAAATCTTTATAGTTTTACAACCTATGAATTATATGTTATGAAAATATTTTTGATAGTGAATCTAAAATTATATATCTTATGTCATAAATCTATGTATTTCTTTTAAATCAATCCCTAAAGATATAAATATTTATCTTAGGACAAACCTAATACGATATCTAAATAAAAATAAAGGGAGTATATATATTTATATATATACGTGGTTTTTTAGTCCAGATTGCACCTAAAAAAACTGGAGTGCAACTTGTATACGTTTTCGGTAGTGCTCGCAAGCAGACGCCGGTCCACGGCGGACGTCCTCTGTTGGTGGACCCCGACGTCCAAAAGACTATCCTATCCCTTCCTATCCGCTCCCCTCCCGCCACCGTAGTTTATTAAAAAAAATCACGCATCGCCGCAACTGCGCTCCGCCGCCCCTCCCGCATGCCTTCCTCCATCGCGCCTCTCGCCGACCTTCCTCTCCATCGCCGCCGCGCCCATCCTCTCCATTTCCATCCTCAATCCTCCATCTCCACCGCATCCACCATCTCCACTTGCAGGCGATGACCGCCGTGTGTGGCCCGACGACCAAGAGAGGGGGCCGTCGTTGGCCGGGCCTAGGCCAGGCGTAGGCACAATTAGCCGTTGTTAGGCCGTGCCACCATCCTCGACCGTCGGCTAGCCGGAACCGGTCATTTCCCACTCTGCTCCACGTCGTTCGGAAGAACGGGTGAAAAACACATGTTGCAGGTGTATATTTCAAGTGATTTAGATGTTTTATAGGTATGTTGCAAGTGTTTCATATGGATGTTGTAAAAGTAGATCGAGATATTGCAATGGTTGTAGCACGGATGTTGCAGGCTTCTGTTCTCAATGTTTCATCTGTTTTTATCTGGATGTTACATATGTTGCAAGTATTTTATCTAGATGTTCCGTATGTTTGCAATGGTTTCAAGTGTTTTTTTCAGGTGTTTTTGCAAGCTTTCCAGACACATATTTTATCTGTCTTTAGACGTATGTTGTAAGTGATGCATCTGAATGTTTCAAAAGTAGATTGGGGTTGCACATGTTGCAATGCGTGTGAGAAGCGGATGGGGCACGCGGTCTGACAGCGCGGGCGGCGTTCGGGCGGCACGGGCCCCGCGTGGGCGCACAAAACGCATGTGCAGGCAGGGGCATGCTGGCATGAGCAGAGGCATGGAGTGCAGGCGCGTGGGAAACGGAGTGCGCGTGGAAGTCTGTCCGGACGCCTAGGCGCTAGCACTTCCGATATTTTTTTAAAATTTTTATTAAAAGTTGTGGCAAAAGTCTTGTTCGCTTCTCTTATAATTTGTGAAGACACAAGGTAACGCCTAGGCGCTAGCACTTCCATGAAGGCACAAGTTGCAATTATAACTTGAGTGGCTAGCTAGTTTAATTATTTGACATCACGCCATCATGTGCATGCAACTTGCGCATCCAGGGAAAGCGGTCGCTGTACTCCAACCCTTTCCTACGTAACATGCATTTGTTATTATACGAGTTTATACTTGTCTAGAGATGTAGTTTATTTCAATGTTTCATTATTTGAAGCATACACTTTGTAACAAATAGTACTCGTCAAAATTAGGTTTGGAAAAAAACCATGTCCCAAAACATCACTTATTAGTGTGACTCGAGAGACAGGAGAGAGCAGGATGGTGTTCTCGCACAGTCCATTCTACCAACCAGTGACGGATCCAGCGGTGGGGCTAGCCCCCCTACCTATCCTGAACACATGGAGTTCCTCTAAGTTCTCTCTTAAAATTTTATGTATATATGTATTAGGTAGAAGAAACTAAGGTTAAGAGAAGATAAAAAAACCTTTATTCTTTTGTTCAGCTCCTTCTAATTTTTTTTTCTGGCTTCGTCACTGCTACCAACTGTGTGAAAGCTACAAAGCAGAACCGCCAAAGTAGCTGTTGCTTTCATGCATGCATGCATAAGCTATATGGCTGCGCGCATTTCCCATTTTAAGGCCTTATCTTAAAAGTTTACATCTTATCCTATCGCATGTTTGACATATGCATAGAGTATTAAATATAGACTAAAAAAAAATAACTAATTGCACATATTGCGGCTACTTTACGAGACGAATCTTTTAAGCCTAAGTAGTCCATATTTGACAACGTGATGCTACAGTAACACGCGTGCTAATAACGGATTAATTAGGCTTAATAAATTCGTCACGCGGTTTACTGATGGAATCTGTAATTTGTTTTTTTATTAGTATCCGAACACACCATACAACATCCCATGTAACATCCGATGTGACAACTCAAAACTTTACCCCTGGATTTAAACAAGGCCTAAGTACCCAAAAGCTAGACTTTTTAAGCTTCTGGAGATCTTTAGCTTTGACAATTGACATAATCTCTCTTTATATACATTGATGTGTGTGTGCGCTGCCAACAATTAATTATCCCAAAAGCTAGACTTTTTAAGCTTTAGAGATCTTTAGCTTTGATTGACATAATCTCTCTTTATATACATTGATGTGTGTGTGCGCTGCCAACAATTAATTAATAATTAAGGAGTATATATAGTATCTTTCTTACTTGATGTCACATCTCATTGAATGTCACTAACACTTCTCTCTAGATTGCTTTCAGATATGTTATTAGTTAACTGTAGTAAAGTGGCCTCTTAACCTAACCATGTAGCTATAGGTTTACATAAAGTTGCAAGCCTAACTAGATCACATTACGTACTAGCTAGCTTTCGTGTAATCAACCCGGCCCAACTTTTGCTGATTGAGCATGAATCAGTGGATCTTTGACAACAAACACCATATCACAGCTAGCATATATAGTATATGCAGCCAAGAGCCTGTTCGGCAGAACTGAAAAATAAGCCAAAATACTGTTACAGCTGATTGTTGTGAGAGAAAAATACTGTTCTGCCTGAAATCACTGTTCACGTGAACAGTGATCCGTGAGGGGGCTGCCCAGCCAGCCAGCCACCGGCCAGCCAGCCGAACAGCCCCCAAGTTTGGATTACGTACTAGCTTCTATATATTAAGCTATACATAGTTGCATCAAATTATTGGCAACTGAGATATCAAGAGCAATAAACAAAGCCTATATGCTAATGCGACATCCAAAGACAAGTGTGCAACAACATATGAGAGGTCAAGAAAAACGACACTAGCTACATCGATTACATTAATTGCTAGTAGCCAAACCATCTGCAAAGCTAGCAACAGCATCCATACTTTTTAGCTTATTTTTTCAGCCGAAACAGTATTTTTTTCTCGCAACAAATCAGCGAGAACAGTGTTTCGGCTTGTTTTTTCAACGAAACGAACGGGCCAAAAACTCTTGTCAGCTATATTTTTTTAATAGAAAAACTCCTTTTCAATTCTTGCTTCTTCCTCGTTCCCCAAATCCTCCAACTCTTCTCTACTTTTAGTTGGCCACAAAGTTAAGTACATGAAGAATCGAAGATTGTGCTCCCTTCGTCACAAAACGTACGAACAAGATGTCTGAAGGTAAAATAAAACATCACTATTTTTGAACGGAGGGAGTGCATATTTGAATGCGTCATTACCTGTCTCAGTCTGATTCCAGTAGGTAAAAGCCTGATCTCACTGTCCGAAAAATAGCCCAACGATCAGTGTTCTCATGCTTCTCTGTCACCCACGTCAGAAAAATAGCTAGCTCGAAGCTGCTCGCTGGGACGCCTTAGAGCAAGTATTATAAGCGGCGAAGAGCTGGCGAAATCCGACGTGGGAGAGAGAGAGAAAGCACGAGAGAGAAGAAAGTGGGCGACTCGCGAGGCGCCGGCAAAAAGCGGACGAAATGCACTGTGGCTGCCGCTCCCCCACTTCAGTTCTTCCACGTCGCAGCGAAGCATTAAAGATCGGTGGAGTCCGCCACCACTGCTCGGCAGCTCGGGTGACCTGGCACAGTCTCTCAGTCGACAGTCGGCTGACTTATTAGCCATGCTCTTAGCAAAAGAAAGGAAGAGACACGCATCCATGTTGTGTTGACCTACATGTGTCCATGCATGCATGGTCCATAGCCTGCGCTTGCACAGTGCACACCGATGGATCGGACCGGAGAATTGAAGCCGCCAAGGTGGAACTGCGAGTCTGCGACATGGGTCACGGACGAAAGGTCAGAAGCGCTCGATGGGGACAAAATGCATTTATATATATATATATATATATATATATATATATATATATATATATATATATGTGCATGTCACGACGACGTCACTCCTTTCCGCCGTCGTCGTCGTAGCCTCGTGCCCGTGTGCTAGCTACTCCCAGGTTGCTACGGCACCTACCTCGGTGGGCCAACGCATGGCATGGTCCTGGCTAAGCTTTCACTGTAGCTGTCATTTGTTTTTTTTTTCCTTCTATAAGAATATAATGAAACGTTTATATTTTTAGATTTGATATTATCACTTTTTGTATCTCTTATAATATTATTTCGGCGAAAGAAAATCAATTTATTGTTAATAATAATATAAAGATATGACATAAATCTCAGTATTATTTATTTTTGAGAAAAAGTGATTAACAGGAAAGCAAGAGACACTTGTGTTGACCAACTTCTGTGTTCGCTTGAATTTATCAACATTACTTTTCAGCCATGAAATAATATTTTTCTCTCACAGTAAATCAGTGAAGTCTTTTTTCGGTCAGCCGAACAGGGGGATCGGAGAGGCGGAACAAATTAGAGTGGTTGCGTGTGGTGTGACGAGTGACGATGACGAATTTGACGATGCTCCATCGTGGATTCGTCTCGTGCAAATTAAAGACCATGGAGCGACGAAAGCTCACTGTCGCTCGCTCGTACCTGCTGTCCACTACTACTAGCCTGTTCGTTTCGGCCGAAATGATCGTAGATTATTACTGCTGACTGATTTGGTATGAGAAAAAAATATTATTCTAATTTATAATCTACGATCATTTACGACCAAACGAACATACTGTATATAGTGCAAAGCACTTGGGCCCAATAGAAGCTGAACGGCTTATGTACCACTAGTTTATAGCTGACAAGATGCTAACTTACTCATGTACGATAAACCAATTTGGCCTATATGAAAGGTGACCTAAATATATCCTCATGTACGTTCATATTCAGCTTGGACTTAATGCACGCATGATGGAACAATCTTTGACTAACAACACAACCAAATCTCTAGTTTACATGCAAGGACCATATACTAAGACTGTCTTCAACAACCATTACTCAAAATATAAGAACAATTTTACGTTTGATAGTGCTACGGGCAAAGAGTTCAATAACTATTTTTTGTCTTCTCCAACAACAAGACCCAAAAGAGAACCTTTTCTATAAATGGATCTCCAGGAGAGAGGATATTTAGATTTAGGTTATACCTCTCCTAACATCTAAAATAAGTCTTCCATATATGTACTCTATCGAAAATTATAGATATTACGTTGGAGACCTATTTTTTGGTTTGGCTCTCCTAATGAGTATGCTGCTGGAGACAGCCTAACCAAATCTCATCAGCATGCTGCCAGTCAATGAATTCAATTCAATTCATCACTCCTCTTCAGCAGCAGCAGCCATGGTGGAGTTCATTTAGCTAGATTGGCCGCCGACGCGCGCCATGGCTCTACCCACCCCCATGCTATCGCTGCTCGCGCTCGCCACGCTTCTTTCCGTGCCCGCGCCAGGTGCCGCGCAGCAGCAGACCACCAACGTCACCTCGGGGACCTCCCTGCAGGCGGCCGCGGGCGCCGCCTGGCCGTCCCCGTCGGGCCGCTTCGCCTTCGGCTTCTACGCCACGGACGGGGGACTCGCGGTGGGCGTCTGGCTCGCTACCACCCCCAACATCACCGTCACGTGGACGGCCAACCGCAACAACACGCCGTCCACGGGCGGCGCGCTCTGGCTCACCTACGACGGCCGCCTGGTCTGGACGGGCCCCGCCGACGGCCAGGACCGGAACCTCGCGGTGCCGTCCCGGCCGGCGGCCGCCGCCGCCATGCGCGACGACGGTAGCTTCATGCTCTACGACGCCAACGGGACCATGGTCTGGTCCACCTTCGCCGCGCCCACCGATACCCTGCTCCCGGGCCAGGACCTCGTCCCCGGCGCGCAGCTCTTCTCCAGCGTCTCGCTCACCAACACAGCCACGGGGAGGTACCGCCTCACCAACCAGCTCAACGACGGTAACCTCGTCCTGTACCCGGTCCGGACGGAGAACACCGCGGACGCCGCGTACTGGGCCACCGGCACGTTCCAGATCGGCTTCCCGCTCACCCTGCGCCTCGACGCCACCGGCGTGCTCTACGTCACCGGCAACAACGGCAACTACACCAAGAACCTGACGCGGCCCGGGGCCGCGCGTTCGCCCGCCGAGACACAGGTCTTCTACCGCGTCACGCTCGACCCCGACGGGGTCCTCCGCCTGTACCGCCACGCCGTCGCGTCGGGGGGCGCGTGGACGACCAGCGCCCGGTGGATCGGGCCGGACGACCGGTGCCACGTCAAGGGCGCGTGCGGGCTCAACAGCTACTGCATCCTCGGCCGCGACGCGCAGCCCGACTGCCGGTGCCCGCCGGGGTTCGACTTCATCGACGCCGCCAACGCACCACTCGGGTGCACCGAGACCACGGGCACCGGTGACTGCGCCACGGCTGGTTCTGGTGCTACTGCTAGCATGGTCGCGATGCAGAACATGTCGTGGGCGGACACACCGTACGCCGTGCTTGGCGCGGGCACGAGCGCCGCCGACTGCCAGGCCGCGTGCGTTGCCGACTGCCTCTGCGCTGCCGTGCTGCTCAACAAAAACGACGGCACCTGCACCAAGCAGCAGCTCCCGCTCCGGTACGGTCGTGCGGGCGGCGGGTACACTCTGTTCGTCAAGAACGCCGCGGGAAGCCCAGCGATCGGCGGCGGCGGTGGGGACCGCCGCCTCGGGCGCTCGGTCACCGTCGCGCTGGTCTGCATCGGGGTCCTGACGTTCTTGTCGCTAGCCGCCCTCGTGGTGGCGGCGCGGCTAGTCCTTGCGAACCGGAGGACGACCGCGGAGCTGGACGCAGGGGAGGCCCTGGACGAGGAGGCGCCCCTGAGGTCGTACAGCTACCAGGAGCTGGAGGACGCGACGTGGAGCTTCCGCGAACCGCTGGGCCGCGGCGCGTTCGGCACGGTGTTCCGGGGCACGCTGCCGCACAACGGCGAGAAGGCGATCGCCGTGAAGCGGCTGGAGAAGATGGTGGAGGAGGGGGAGGTGGAGTTCCAGCGGGAGGTGCGCGCCATCGGGCGGACGAGCCACCGGAACCTGGTCCGGCTGCTGGGGTTCTGCCACGAGGGCGCCAACCGGCTGCTGGTGTACGAGTACATGAGCAACGGGTCGCTGGCGGAGCGTCTGTTCAAGAGCGGCGGCGGACCGCCGGTGTGGAGCGAACGGATGGGCATCGCGCTGGACGTCGCGCGCGGGCTGCACTACCTCCACGACGAGCTGGACAGCCGGGTGATCCACTGCGACGTGAAGCCGCAGAACATCCTGATGGACGCGTCGGGGACGGCCAAGATCGCCGACTTCGGGCTGGCGAAGCTGCTTCTGCCGGAGCAGACGCGGACGTTCACGGGTGTCCGCGGCACGCGCGGGTACCTGGCCCCCGAGTGGTACCGCGGCGCCGGGCCCGTGACGGTGAAGGCGGACGTGTACAGCTACGGCGTGGTGCTGCTGGAGATCGTGACGTGCCGGCGGAGCATGGAGCTGGAGGAGGCCGGCGAGGATCGGACGCTCATGGAGTGCGCGCACGAGTGGCTGGTGCGCGGCGAGGTGACGCGGGTGGTGGGCGGCGACGAGGCCGTGGACGGCGCGGAGGTGGAGCGGGCGGTCAAGGTGGCGCTGTGGTGCGCGCAAGCGGAGCCGCAGGCGAGGCCCGCCATGCGGAGCGTCATCCTGATGCTGGAAGGGCTCGTTGAGGTGCCGTTCCCGCCGCCGCCGGCCTCCTCCTGATCGCCATTCCCGTCGGGATGACCGGATGGGGATTCTTGCGCGCGCCATCACGTAGCTATAGCTAGCTAGTTTCTTGCATTGCATTGGGGGCAACGCATCAGAGATTAACTAATGTAGTAGTACTAACAGATTGAGATGTGTTTTTATATACACTAGTATATTCTTATACATACAGGAAAATGGAACCAGATCGGGGCACAACATAACAATTTAAAAAGAAACTTAAATCAAAGAGGTCATTTCACTTGCAAATTGTAGGAATTATTACAAAAGGATAAGTCGATCGATATATGAGAAGACAAAGACACAACAAACAGATAGTAGTAGTACAAGAAGAAGAGGGGGAAAATCAATGGGGTCGAGAAATCAAAGGAGGAAGATGAATCATATGTGGGCTGACGGAGCAGCAATTATATATATGGAGCTGAACCGATGAATTAATGTGCTGGGCGATCAAGCCGGGGGGCCGCCGGCGGCACCAGCGGCGGCGCCGCCGGTCGCGCCCTGGTCCGTGGTGCCGCACGCCTGGTTGCACATCTTGGTGCAGGCGGGGTCGGTCTTGCCGTTGGCGCACCGCTCGTAGCAGTCGTCGTAGCAGCCGTACGCGGTGGCCGCGGGCAGCGACGCCGCCACCACCAGGAGGGCCATCAGGGCCAGCGCCACCATCCTCATGCTCTGGGCCATCGCAGGGCGGTGTTGACGACGGATGGTGATTTTGCTCTTGTGAGTGCTGCTAGTGCTAGCTTTGGGGAGCCTCGTCAATGTCGTCCTTGCATTGAGGCGTTACGTGTGAAGGAGTGTATATATAGCAGAGGAGAGGAGGGGTGGACATGAGTGTGGGGACGTGCGAGCTTCACGGGACATCAATGGAGGAGTCGTACAGTGGAAAAAAATTGCATGCGGACCGTCCCCCGTATTGTTGGTGACGACGGCAAGCGCAAGCCAGACACGTGGCGTTGGTAGAAACGAACGCGCCGGTGAAGCAGGAGAACGAAATTATGATGGGACAGGCCATGAATGGGATAGATGCTTTTAGCGTTTCGGGCCTCGTCATGGATCTTCCAAACCATTTCAGCTTTCATTCTCTTCTCCTTTCCCCTTCCCCCGGCCACGGATGCGTTAATGAATCATGACTGCAAACGTATGAAATCATATAATGATGGTTCAGGACTCGGTAGGCAGGTATTTCAGAAACCAAGCTTTTATACAAAGATAGCCTCGGTGTATTATATATGATACACAAAGATTATCAAAATCCTTCCTAGAACAATCAATCATTCATTTCTTAAGTGAAGTAATTAAATACAGACCAACAGCAAAACTCACGCCTCGCTCGTGACCAACAGCAAAAACCAACCAACGGGAAGCGACTCATCGTGTTTCATCTGCAACAGGTCAAGGGCCAGCCACCGCCCACCAGCCCTTCATTCCTCGCCATCGCCGGGCTGTGCCACTCGCTCCAGACAGCAGTACAGCACTCAGCTATGGCGCGCGCGATAGGCCTGTCTCCATGGACAGCTCCACCACCTCGGTGTATTCCCAGCCTCTGCAGCGAATCAGCGATACATGCACCTGGCGAAAAGCCAAATAGCAAGTGAGGAAATTCTCAGGCCACTTTCACAGGTAACAGCGTATCAACTTAATAAGCAACAGTGGATCGACGGTTTGTGCCTGCCTCTGCAAGTGACTGAAGCTTGAAACAAAAGTTCTTATGCTGGGCAAATCAAAGCGCCACTATACACTAATGCAATAGGTAGAAATTAGAAGTTACATAAGTTTGTTCACCGCAGCCATAGGTTTAATTTGAAACACAATTAGATCCATCTTATGCTAACCACTAGCATACAGTCATTTCAGTCGGCTGCTATGAAGTCAAACACTACCAGTTCACAACAGAATTTGCTTCAAGCAACGTCCTACATGCAAATCTCCAAAGTTGACTTACTAAGCACACAAACAGACAATTAAAAGTCTAAAGTATGCATCTTCAGTAAGCAGCTACCTCATGTATCAACTATCCATTAAGACAATTTGTGCATCCAAATTGCACGTGGTTGGACCTTAAAATTAGAATATTTAATTTGGAACAAGAACATTTTTGTTCCTGGGGAAAAACATTAAGCACTAGTATAAACTAAAATTCAACCTCAACAAAACACATAACTTAGTTCGTTGAGGCAACTCAATCACAATTTTGAAAGACAAATTAAATTCATCTGATGCTTAGCAATAACATTCAGGCAGTTGATATAAACCCTGCTACTAGTTCACAGCAAAATTTGCTTCAACTTTCCTCAGATATGCAGATCTCCAGCTATAGAGCAAGGATACATGCATATAGTTCGTCAGTATGTATAGCTACAAAAGATTTGTATGCAGCAAACTGCAAAATCTACCATCTAATGGGATTTGGGTAAGTTCAAGATTTTACTTCAACATCTTTACCTGGCAATCATTCTCTAGAAGGTTTGCCGTATAAATCTTTGCTTACAATAAATAAAGGATTATTCAAAGTACAGACAGGGATCAACAATATGCATCTCTTGCAGAAGCAACAAACATACAGAGACAGCAAGAAACACAACTAGGTGAAACAACACCAAACATTTCAGTCATTTTCAGAAGTTCTAATATACTGCTATCCACTATTTAGCTAATGTCTGGCGCCATAATGAGGACAACAGCGCTGGTACTCCCATCTGTCGTAGCATTTAGATGATTCTATTATGTAGCCGGACTGACCAATTTTTATGGCACTGGTAAAACATAAACGGAGTTCTTTTTAAAGTTTCTCAAACACACAGCTGCGTATCATTGATAGAAAGAAGAGAGTTACAATGCGCGCGCACGCACACACTCAGAAGCACAGCAGAGGTAAACACTAATAACGGAGGTTGTCAGAGAGAAGAAAAACCTAATCCTTGTGCAGCTTTCTTTTCCTCAAAACAACCGCCTCCAGAGTTGTCCTGAACTCCACTAGAACCTTAAATAAGATCTTGATTCTTCAAGTAATTCTTCCCATTTCTTAGGTTTGTGACCAACTGTTGCTTCATTGGGTCAACAACAACGTTAGTAGGTTGTTCCCCCAATTGGTGCATAAGAGTGTAAGTCGTGCTGTATGGATCTGGTCAAGTTGATTATTCAGTCGCCTAAATTCCTCCTTTGGCATGCTAGGCTGCTACCTGCTAGCAATCCTACATATGAAAAATGGCAGAGGAAAAATTATTAGTGACTAAGAAGCATCCCACTCCAACTTTGCATGTAAGAAACACAATTGTACTAGTGAGTACATAGATTTGAGTGTCTTACCACCAACAGCAGCTCCTATTAGAGCGACCAACCACGGCAATGAGAATTGGCATATTGGCGAGAGAATTAGGTGGCTGGCGTGTCTCCATGCCTCAAGGGGTACAGCAAGTTGACATGGTTGAAAGTACAGTAACTTTCAGAAGGCCAGGACTTGCCACTTTCTGCAGGGTCAAATTTCAAGGGCACAGATTGGTCAATTATATCCATAATGCAGCACAACTGAATGGAGAACATAATAGTATACTAAAGCAAAGGCAAGCAAGAATATGCTTCAGCAGTGAAAATGCAAATGCCCCCTCAGTTTTGTAAATGTACGCAAAATCAATGTTCAAAAGGCGCTACTAGGCGCTCGCCTAAGGCGCGCACGCGCTAAGCGGAGGGGTGCCGCCCGCCTAAGGGGGGTAGGTGGAAGAAAAAGGCTGACCGACCGCAGATCCAGAGCGGCAGAGGTGGCGAGCGCAGCTTGGAGGAGGCTAGCGGCGTGGCACGGCGGCCGAGGCGAGGCCTTTAGTCCGTGGCGGAGAGTCGGGGGCGTTGCTGGCGGTGGCAGCCGTGGCGGAGAGGAGGCGGAGAGAGCGAGGGGCGAGGCGGCGGTGGTGTGGCAAGCTGGAGGAGGAGGGGAGGGCGGCGGCGACCAGGCGGAGGAGGCGGAGGACGGGCAGCAAGCAGCGCGCGGAGGACGGGAGAGGCAGGGATGGAGGCGGGCGGGCACCGCGATCATCATGCGGTGGATGATCTGAAGAAGTCTGAAGGGATAGGGTGGGGATGAGGTTAGAGGAGGGAATTCCTTGTGTGTCATTAAAAAAGATCGCAATGCTGTGAGCTCTGGAAAAGTTTAAGCGGTATTTCGCCTTTGCTCTAACTTTTTGTGCCCTCCATGCCCTTCTTGCCGTCGGTTTGGGCTCTAACTTGTGAGTCAAGCTGCCGGTGTGAAAAGTGAAAATACCCTTAAATCTAAATATGTCATTAAATTTTTTGAGCATCTTATGACTTCAAATTAAAAAACTCAAAACTAGATATGTTATATATCTTAAAAAGATATATTTTTTTCATAAATTAAATGAAGATCATTTTTATATGAAAAAAGATCTTTGATATGATTAATATATCTTAGTCATGAGTTTTTTTCATTTGAAATTAAATAAGATGCTATGAAAAAATTAATGACATATTTAGACTTAAGGATATTTTTGACTTTTTTCACACTTCAGCTTGATTGCAACTAATATTTAGAGCCCAAACTGACGGAAGTGGCATGGAGGGCACAAAAAAGTTGGAGCAATGACGCTAAAGACCGCTGAACTTTTTCAGGGGCTCATAGGGCATTGCGATATTTTTTAATGGCACACAAGGAATTGTTTCTTAGAGATAAGGCTTGCTGCTCAGATATGGGCTTAAGCTGCTTTATGGGCCTTTCTATACAACTCTCGGCCCATAGGTGTCCTATTTTTTTCTTTTCTTATAGACTTTTATAGGTAAAATATAAATGGATATAGAACGCCTAGAAAAACGCCAGGCTAGCCTAGGCTCTAGGCTATGGGTCAGCGCCTAAAAACCGGCTAGCGTCTTCTTGAACTTTGGCAAAATGTATGTACATTTTGGTCAATGTGCCCTAAACCACAACATTGAACTCTGCACCAAGCCTCAGTTTCTTCATGATGCGCATAAGTTCTGCCCACTTTAGATGCAAATGCAACTATGTAAGCCCATATTGCTGCTTGATTGTGATCCACAAACTAGTTACTGGTGGACTAGGATCACACAAACTGCCAAGGACCAATCGAAATACAAATGCCTCGAATTGAAGTTTATATTATCTATGATTCTACATATATCACATCCACATATACTGGGTTTTCAAGTGTAATGTTAGTTTGTCATGTCGATGACAAACAATCTGGTAGTAATTAGCTAAGTGAGGACAACTTCTTCTCCAGTCGCTTTGCTGAGCGAAGGGCCTCCAAGGCCTCCGCCTGCTTCCCTTCCCGCTTCAAGTTGAGTGCCTTCTGTTTCTCCACCTTGATCTGTTCTTCAAGCTGACTTCTCTCGCTGTGAGGCTTGATGGTCACTGTGATGGCTGGTTTCACTTCCACTTTCTGTGGAGGCTGACTTTTTGAAGTCAGCAGGGGCTTAGGAGGTTGTGCACTAGAAGATTGCATGGATAAATCCATGTCGCTCCAACCGATGGATTTTAGGGCAGACATGATTTGAGGATCAAGAAGCTCCTCCACCATCGCGTCGTTTGGTTCGCCTGACTTGCCTCCGGAGCTTGAACCTTGGTTGTCTGGCTCTTCCAGTTGGCTCTCTAGTTCCTTGGCCAGTTCAAATTCTGCATCTGCTTCTGCAATCTTTCCTTCTCTCCGCAACTTGAGGGCGCTGCGCTTGTGAGCTAGGGATTCACGTTGGATTTTGAGACGGTCTCGGCTGGACATTGCCCTTTGAGGTTGCATCGACTTGCTCTCTTGTGCAGGAGGGCCAGAGGCCACGCCAGAACTAGCACGTTGTTGGACCACGGTGCTCTGTTCCCCAGCAGGAGTAATGGAGTTATCACCACCATCCATGCTGTCTTGTTGAGCACCTTCAAGGCGTTTTTCTAAGAGTCTTGCCAGTTTCAGTTCTTCTCTAGCTTCTGCCATCTTCCCTTCTCTCTTGAAGGCAACTGCTTTTCTCTTATGAAATAAGATCTCATCTGTAAGAATATCATCTCCATGTGTTTTATGAGGCTCTTTACGAACACGTAGTTCAGAAGGTGAATGTGACCCTTTTTCAGATCCCACAGAATTAGTATAAGCTGGCCACAAGGCTGACGATGCTCCATCACTACTTTCCTTTGCCACATGAATTTGTTTAGAACCAGTTGTCTCAACCTGAAGTTTGCTTGGAGAATCACCCAGACTATCCACAGATATACCAGGTTCAGATCCATGCACCTGCAATATATCATCCCATTTCATTGTTTTTGTTACTGAAGATGTGGGTACAGTTGCATCAATACTAGAGACATGCTGAACATCGAATTTATTTTCCACAATCTGATGTCCAGCAGTAGTAACACCTTGACTAGCAGTCGAGTTGATCTCTGCAAGTTGCTGCTCCAAGACCTTAGCCTTCTCCAGTTCCTCCTCGGCTTCTATGTTTTTCCCTTCCCTTCTGAGTGCAAGAGCCTTCCTTTTTATACCAAGCAATTCCTTCTGAAGCTGAACCTTAGTTTTTGATGATTTCTGATGAACTACATGTGAACAAATCGATGGGTTGTCATTTCTTTTTGCAGAATCAGTATCAACATCTTCCCACCCCATATTTTTCAGCATGGATAGCAATGCTGGATCCTGCATGTCATTGTCTGTAACCTCAGGTTCATATCCCTCATCAGCAAGATTGAGACTTGGGGGTTCAACCTTGTACGGGGGATTAGATGCAAAGCTCCTGGTTTCCTTTACTACAGGTGGTTTGGAAGCATTCTCAAGTTCTTCAAGCTGTTTTTCTAGAAGGCTACCTTTCTTCAGCTCTTCCTCAGACTCATCCACCTTCCCTTCCCTCCTCAAAGCTAGTGCCTTCTTCTTCAGAGCCAACAGTTCTCTCTGAATTGCTAGCTTACTTCTATGTGCCAATACAGGTCGTGCAGTCATCCCTGCAAAAGTGACATCTTCTGCAAGCATAGTTTTCTGTCCCTCTAGAGAAGCAACCTTTGATTCTGGCTCTTCAGTTTCCAGATCCTTCTCAAGTAGTTTTGCCTTCTTAAGCAAGGTCATGGCTTCTGCAACATTACCAGACCTTCTGTTTGCAACAACCTCTTTTTTAAGAGCAAGCACTTGCTCCTTTAGCACATCTTGATTTGAAGAAGAAACAGGCTCATGATGTTCCAATTGTTTGTCATCCTCCTCACTCCAGCCAAATGATTTTAGGGCAGCAGCCATATCTGGGTCATTCATGTCATCATCCGTAACATCAAAGTGTCCATCAATGGCAAGATCATTAGAGGCACCCAGAATTTGTTCAAAGTTAAAAGCAGGCAAGTTTGGATCATCCATCCATATGTCATCATGCTTATCATCGTCCATGTTCCGAATAATGGCAGCCAAATCATCATCCGAGTCTTCTGCTTCACCCAGAATCTCCTGTTCCTCTAGTTGTTTTTCCAAGATTTTAGCCTTCTTCAGCTCTTCTTTTGCTTCAGCAAGTCTACCTTCCCGCTTCAGCAGTAAGGCTTGCCTCTTCAGAGCATTAACCTGAGATTTATCAATACCACCTGTTTTTTTGCCCTCCGATGATTTAGGGGCCACCTCTCTAAGAAGCTGTGACAGCTCTCCTTCCACACTCATAGGGGCTGCCTTCGTTTCATCACGAAGGTCTGCATCTGACAAGCCTAGGTCTCTAAGCTCAGAGGCAAGATCATTCTTTTCTTTCTTGACCCTTTTCCCAGCTGAATACTTTTTTGTTTCAGACTCATCAAAACTATCAGTCGTTGGGGTACTAACTGCAGCAGCTACATTAGGAGCTCTTGTAGCCATTCTCCGGCTCTTTCTCAATTCTAATTCAAGCGCTGCAGCTTGCCTCTCAAGTTCTTTGCCATGCTTGAAAACCCGCAGTGCTTCATCCGGTTTACCTTCTGATTTCAAAGTTTTGTACCTTTTCTTTTCTTCTACAGCTTGTTGGCGCAACTCCTCTGGGGTAAAAACAGATGCAGTGTTGTTGAGGTCAAAATCATGTGCTTCAGCAGAAAGCCTCTCATCTCCATTTGTGTCCATACTCAAATTAGCAGTAGTTCTTCTCGAACTGGATCCGGAGGAACTGGCACTGATTGCACTTATCCCAGGAAACTCAGAATTCAGAGATTCCTTGCCAGAAACCTGGATCTGCACTCCATCACCTCCAAGAATTTCACTTAGAATTTCATCTTCTGGTTTTGAGGTTGCTTTTGTGGTAGCTGTGGAAACAGAATGAAAGGTTTTTTTTTAGTTAGACCTTTCGCACATAATTCCACTATAGATTTTTAGCTCCCATAGATCCTATTTTGACAAATTTGTATGTGCAATACAGTGATACAAAATACTGCATACAACATAGAACTATGAAGAATGTATCAAAGACCAAAAATATTTCATTGCAACCAGTTAGGCTGTTAGGCACTTGTAGCTAAAGGGCGTACCCAGTGCAGAGAGCTCCCGCTCTGTGCGGGGTCTGGGAAAGGGTGTCAGTGGCAAGCCTTACCCTCGCCTGTGCAATGCGAGGAGACCGCGACTCGAACCCGGGACCTTCTGGTCACAGGCGGTAAGACTCTACCGCTTGCACCAGGCCCGCCCTTCTGTTAGGCACTTGTAGCTAACAAACGATAAACCATAGAATAAAATAATTTCTGAGATAGAACAAGATATTGCTAGAAATGTTTAATTCTTCATTAGTGACAAGCTGCAAGCACCATCATTACTCATTAGGGTATAGACGTATAGTGACAATAATGCATCTCTGTTTCTGAGATTATTATAGATATAGGCATATAGCTCCCATAAAGCAAAGTTAAATGTTTTAAAAAAAACTGAAATAGTATGAACCAGCCCGAACTTTGCACAGGACCACCCCATTATCAAATGTGCTCTATATGATGATGATAACCAAATTGGTACATAAATTGCATCTTCAATAGAATCCATGCTGATAGTCTGATTTTTTTTTATCAACAAGATCTTGATTGCTATCAGTTTATTACGATTTTCAAAAATATACTAATTAAATACATATCAGATCAAAAGGATAAGCAAAAGAAAATAGACCTCTTGCAGCTATATTTTTGTGTCCATATCTCAATTCATAGCGTGCTGCTTCCTCAAGCTTTTTGCAAGGATCACAGATTCTAACAGGTGAATCGCCCTGTCCACGTAAAACCATCCTTTGCTGGGTGCAGCTATTGCAGAACACGCCCCCACATCTTCGGCAATGGTGCTACATCAATTTATCCAAAAGTTAACACAGCCCCTTATGAGACCATAAGGTTACAACAGAGTTCACAGTTTAACTGAATGGCCAATGGCATGTTCATAAACACCGTGAAATGGTGAACGCAAGCATATTAAGTACTCAAACAAGCAAGCGAGATATTTCTAAACAGTAGATTTGAGTTTCAGAACTTCATGATAGACCATATTTACCAGCAATAAATGACTAAAGGAAAAACAATGGAGAACATATCTTGATTCCCCCACACAGCAAGGTTTCAAGCAAAAACAAATCGAGCTCCAGTCAAACTGTGATCTAGCCATGGGCAGCGGCAAACAATTTTCATGGCAAGCATGGACAAAGGGAGTCATGAGTGTCAGGTGAGAATGGACTCTAGAGACGTAAGGTCATGATAATACTAGAACTGGGGTGACAAGGTCATCTGTAATGAGACATGAAACCAAGAGAACATCAAGGTCAGTATCTTCCACTGCCAGCAGATGATTTCATTAATCAACAAGTTCATTTATCAACTTGCTTTGTAGTCCAACACAGGGTGAGTTTCGCTGATAGTGGAGCTGGAGCATGTAATGTAAACAAAGTAACTGAGCCAAAACATTATGAATCCCACTGAAATAAATAATTGTACCAAGTCCAAGCATGATAGTTTTACGAGACTATGGACTAATAAATTTACACTTTTCAGAAACAGAAAAGGCAGGAGGTGAGCCATCGCTGCAAGGGGATTTGATTTACCTTCCTAGTAAAAAAGGTAAACTGAACAGAACAGCCCTGGCAGTGAGGTGCATCCACCTCCCAGGTGGCGCCTCGCATGGACGGCATCGAAGGCAACCGAATATTCTCCATAATCTTTGCAAAAAAAAAAACGAAGTCAGTAGGAACGCACAGCACAATACATGTATATAAACACTTGTAATTTGATCAGATCCGGAAACAAATCGCCAAATAAACCTTAGGGTTTGAGTGCTCGATTTCGCACAGCAGGAGGAAGGGGAAAAGAAAGAGTGTGAATACCTGGTGGGTGCCCGTCGCCGGCGAAGGGCTCCTCGACGACCTGGGCACCTGGGTGGAGTAGAGCGGCGGTGGCGTGGCCGTGGCGTCGCCCAGGGCCAGGGGGAGTCGTGTGCGCCACCCCACCGTAAAGAAATGCCGAGATCAGCGCGCGCTGTCAAGTCAGTGATGCATGCCCGACTTTGGATTATTTTCGACCGTTTATTTCCAGATGGGCGGTTCAGATCCCATGCTACAGTGCCGCCAATCACGCCGGCCGGTGCAGTGACTTTGCTCTGCTACATATGTATCAACTCCGATTCACGTCGGAGCGAATTGGAACGGAAGTTAGTTTCATTCTAATTCGCTAATATATGTGGATTGTGATAGATATATGTGCATTCAAATAAAGCCTAAGTCAAAAAATCCGTGCCGGAACTAGAGACGGAAATGATGAACTTTTTTTTTATGTAATGAAAAGATATTCTTTTAAAGATTTTTCTCATCATATATGGTGATTGCATGATTGGTGAATTGGTGAATTGGCATTGCTGTTACGGTTCGTCGATGAGCTATGTGATATATGAACTTTGGCCCCGTTCGGATGGTATGGTTCTGGGAAAATTTGGATTGGAGGAATTTGTGAGAGAAAAACACTGTTCTGGATAAAAAAAGAAGCGGATCAAGTCGGGTTTAAGGACACGCGAATGGGGCATTTGAATTGATATAGATTGGGTTGTATATGTCATGGGTGTTTTTTCTAAGCTCTAAATTTCTATTGCTGTTGTTAGTTAATTTCTACGCACTGATATGTGCACGCAAGAGTACGGGTTCTTTTTAACGAGAAATTTTTGACTGTTAGCTCGCGCCCCCCTCAAGATTTAACATCCAACTCGCATGCCTTTCAAATATAACTCTAGACACGCGAATTCTTTCGATCCGAGGGATTTCTCTCTTCTCTTCTTTTCTTATTTCCAATATATCCTTTTCACTGTTGATGGCACCAGAAAAGACCATTTGTGGCTGCAACTCCTGACGAGTAAGGACGAGGCGGCGGTGGCGATCAAGAAGTTCAAGGCGCGCGCGGAGGCGGAGAGCGGCAAGAAGCTGCGCGTGCTGAGGACTGATCGCGGCGACGAATTCACTTCGTTGGAGTTCGCTGCGTACTGCGCGGATTAGGGTGTGGTGCGACACCACACTGCGCCGTACTCACCACAACAGAATGGCGTGGTGGAGCGGCGGAACCAAACTGTGGTCGACATGACTCAATCCATGATGAAGGCAAAGGGCATGCCAGCAAGGTTCTAGGGTGAGGCGGTGACCATGGCGGTGTTCATCCTCAACCGTGCGCCCACCAAGGCCTTGAAGGGTAAGACGCTGTTCGAAGCTTGGTATGGGCGTGTCCTTCCTCCAAACTTTCGGTTGCATCGGCCACGTTAGGAAGACGAAGCCGGTCCTCACCAAGCTGGAGGACAGGAGCACACCGATGATGCTCCTAGGCTACACGGAAGGTACCAAGGCATACCGGCTCTACGACCCACGCGAAGGCAAGGTGTTTGTCTCGCGCGACGTCGTGTTCGACGAGAAGGCGGCCTAGGACTGAAACAATCCGGGCACAGGGGAAGCTGGCGGCTTCACCAACACCTTCATTGTCGAGCACTTGGTCATCCACGGTGGTAGAGACGCTGGAGAGGATGTGCCGACCACTCTAGCAATAGAGCCGAGCACTCATGGAGTGGTGCCGAGCGGTCCTGCAGCGGTGTCGACCACTCCAAGACGGGTGCCAAACGCTCCCGTAGCAGAGCCGAGAGGTCTTGCAGTGGTGCCGACCACTCCAAGACTGGTGCGGAGCACTCCTGCAGTGTGCAGACCACTCCAGGAGTGGTGACAAACGGTCCAGGAGTAGTGTCGAGCACTGCAGCCGGGGTGCCGATAACTCCAGGTGCTGTGCCGACCACTCCGGCAAAACAGGGAACTCCATCGACGTCAATCGAGTTCGCCTCACCTTCAAGCAACATCACTGAGTTCGTGGATGCCTTCCGCGACGGTGAGGAGGTACGGTTCCACGGGCTGGATGACATGATCGGCGGCACAGGGCCCTCAAGCCTGGCGGGTCGGCTGCTCAATGAACCAGAGCTGCTTCTCGTCAGTGCAGAGGAACCACCCACGTTCGCGCTGGCCGAGCGCGATGCACATTGGCGACGAGCGATGCTGGAGGAGATGAAGACGATCGAGAAAAACGAGACTTGAGAGCTTGTTGATCCACCTCCAGGATGCCGTCCTATCGGGCTAAAGTGGGTGTATAAGGTCAAGCGGAACGAGTGTGGTGCCATTGTTAAGCACAAGGCGCGCCTCGTCGCCCGAGGGTTTGTCCAGCGCGAGGGCATCAACTTCGAGGAAGTCTTTGCGCTGGTAGCACGCATAGAGTCTGTCCGACTACTGCTGGCTCTGGCAGCAGCAAAGGACTGGCGCGTCCATCACCTGGACGTAAAATTGGCCTTCCTCAACGGCGAGCTGGCGGAGACGGTCTTCGTCAGACAACCTCCGGGTTTCGCCATCCAGGGAGCGAAGCACAGGGTGCTCTGACTGCGTAAGGCGCTCTATAGGCTGCGGCAGGCCCCACAAGGGTGGAACGTCAAGCTTGACGCCACGCTGGGCGAGCTTGGTTCACACGGTGCGCAACCGAGCGCGCGCTCTACACGCGACGTCGGGGGGAGGAGGAGCTCATCGTCGGCGTGTATGTGGACGACTTGATCATCACCGACGCGCGTGAGGAGGACATCGACAGCTTTAAGCGCGAGATGACGGCTTGTTTTCGAATGAACGATCTTGGCGCGCTCTCCTACTACCTCGGCATCGAGGTGAGACAGGGGAAGAAGGCGCTCACGCTCGGTCAGAGCGCGTACGCTTGAAGCTATTGGAGCGGAGCGACATGGCTGAGTGCAAGCCGTGCGTGACTCCGATCGACGAGCGACTGAAGCTGATGAAAGCCAGTACCGCGGCGAAGGTAGATGCAACACTCTACCAGAACATCGTTGGCGATCTGCGCTATCTAGTCCACACGAGGCCGGACATTACGTTCGTCGTGGGCTACGTCAGCCGCTTCATGGAGAATTCCCGAGAGGATCACTGGGCTGCGGTGAAGCGGCTGCTGCGCTACGTCAAGGGGACGGTGGATCAAGGGATCATCTTCTCCAAGACCGGCGAAAGTAGGCTGTAGCTCACTGTGTTCAGCGATGCAGACATGGCGGGGGACATCGACGGACGGCGGAGCACCTCTAGCGTGCTCGTTTTCCTCGGGTCGACTCCAATCTCATGGCTGTCGCTGAAACAGAAGGTGGTGGGGTTGTCCACGTGCGACGCAGAGTACGTGGCGACGGCCACAGCGACGTGCCAAGCTGTGTGGCTGCGCCGACTGCTGGGTGAGTTGACCGGTGTGGAAGCTCACCCACCAGCACTGATGGTGGACAACCAGCTCGCCATAGCACTCGCGAAGAATCCGATTCTCTACGACCGAAGCAAGCACATCGACGTCAAGTTCCACTTCCTCAGGGACTGTATCAATGAAGGGTAGATCGTCATCGAGTTCGTCGAAACTGGTTGGCAACTCGCGGACGTCCTCACCAAGCCGCTCAGCTGTCTTCGGTTCACGGAGCTGAAGAAGATGATCGGCATGGAGGGGTTCTAGGGTTAGCAGCAGGATTAGGGGAAGAATTGTTAAGTAATCTGTTGCTCCCCTGTGTGAACGCACTACAGGGGCAGGCGTCGAAAAGGGCTCCCTGCTGCTGTACTGTAGCCGCTGCAGGGGCAGGCGTCGAAAAGCTCCCCTGCTGCGCTGTAGCCACAGCAGGAGCAGGCGCCAAAGTCAGCCCTGCTGTCACATCTAATCACTGTAGCAGCATGATAGCCTGACATGTCTGTGTACTAGGATTAGATGAGTAGAGTTGTATATATAGTTTTTCACTGCAACTCAGTAAAGAGAGCGAATTCAGTTTTTGCCATCTCCTCTGCAGAGCTCCAACCAACGCTGGTGCTTGTGCTGTGTGTACGTTCTGTTCTCCCTCTCTTCTTCTACCTCTAATCATAGTGTGTGGTCGACAACGCAGGTGAGTGGTCGGCTTACCCATGCTGAAGATCCGGGGGCCAACATTGCTTACAAGGACGAGTCTCGCATAGATCTAGCAGTATACAGACTCGCTGACCTTGTCATCGGAAGGTTTGTGCCTATAACGCAGGTGAGTGGTCGGCTCACCCATGCCGATGCGGTCTGTTCGGCTGGTATTAAAGCCGGCTGATAAGCCGGTTAAAGCTGATTTGTTGTGAGAGAAAAATACTATAGATTTTAGCTGATAAGCCGGCTGATAAGTTCAAACGAACAGGCGGAAACGTTGTCTCTGTGTTTCACTTCCACCAAACAAGGGGTTGAGTAAATGGCTGCCGTCTGTTTCACCTAATTCTGTCATCTGCTTACGTTGGTCCCGTCTGAACGCTGGAGAACAACTTTTTGAGCAGTACACCCTGAGTACTGGCATGTGGACTCCAGCCAGTGATGGAAACATTGTAAAGATGCCACCGCCAAGCCCCCATGAGTTTACTCATCATATATTTACTTGTTGCTGTCATAGATATTGGTGAGTCTATATCCAGCTAAGTTTTTCATAGATTATTTATACCATTTAAAGGGGTCAATGTGGTTCTCATATTGTTTGATCCATGATAAAC